CTTTGGAGGCACAAAGTTGCTAGAGCGTTCACTAAACCGGGATAACGTGCATGGCCATAAACGCACGGCCTATGAGAGAATATCACTCAATGAAAAGATCCGGTGTGCTACATTGTCTGAGATAGGGTTCAAGACTACGAGTCACCCTTATGAAATCGGAATTGTAACCACTACGCTAAGGTTCAAATCTTCGCGATACCTTAGCTTATGCCCGATCTTATGGATCTGTTGATGCTCAGAGATAGTTTCAAAACTATTCAAGTGGGGGATTGTTGGGAATGAATATCTTTGAAAGCTATATTGAATTAATTATCCAGTATTCTTTCTAGATACAAAAATAAGAAGGATAATTAATAACAAGAATATTATGGAGATAATTAGTATTAATTATCTTAATATAATATATCTTAATTATCGTCCTAATTATCGTCCTATTTTTCTGTTCGGTTTTCAACAGGCCTCGCCGCTGCCGTCGTTTCCGTCACTGGATTTCTGCAATTTCTTTGCATTTTGGATAATTCCAATCACAATAGAGGTTTTATTATATTAATTTGATTATGGGTTCCTTGGTTTTTTTGGTACAATATATATGGTTTCAAGTCAAAGGTGGATTATAATCTGCTGTCAGCGCCGGGAATGAGGCGCAGAAGAAGCATGAAAGGAAAATGAGGGCGAACAACTTTGAGAGTTTGGACTCATTTGGGGCTGCCTGTGACTAGGGTTGCAAATGAGCCAAGCCGCTCGCGAGTAACTCAGTGTTCGAAAAAATCTCGTTGGACACTCGGCTTGTTATTTAATACGCCAACTCGCGAGCTCACTCGTTAGCAAACCAGCCAAGCTTGAGCTAGATCATGCTCAGCTTGATAAGCTCGCGAGCTAGCTTGACTCGGTGGCTTGTCGAGCTAAGCTCGCAAGCTGGCTTGTTTAGAGCTTGTGGAAGGATTAATTACTCTTATGAACATGATCATTATCTTGTTAATACGGATGTGTATGGAAGTTAGCTGTTATTTATAGTTTCTAGTGTTCTTTTTATGATTCAAACTCTTATCTGTACACATTTTTCTGCAAGAATGATTTCAAATCAATCTCATCTTGAGGCGAGCTCATACTTAGGTTGACAAGTTGTATTGATGAACATTTACCGAGCTCTACCGAGTCGAGCTCGAGTTGGATTATTTTTAATCAAGCCGAACTCGAGCTGAATTATCAAAATTCGAGTTCGAACCGAGCTCGAGCTGAGAAATTTATAAATGAGTCGAGGTCAAACTAAGAAAAACTTGAATCGACTCGTTTGCAGCCCTACCCGAGACCCATTTTTTTTATTCAATGAAATGGACTTATTTTGGACCAAATTAATTATTGGGTATGGATCAATCCCAAAGAAAATACCCATAGTTGACTTGAACCATTATAGTTTGTGTTTGGACAATACCCAAAGATTGGGTCCTTATTGCCATCCCTAGAAAAAGTTCTTTTTTTGTGTCTATGTCAGTACAAATGGAAAGGGCAAAATTGAGCTTTGACTTCATCTATTGAAAATCAAAATTATTAAACTGGTTTATACCGTTGCGTCATTCTAGCAAGTTGAATAACTCAACCGATGATACAATTTGTTTATGTCAGTTTAACAAAAAAAAAATGACAAACCATTAGCCTCAAATGCATTTAATCATATAAAAAACATATTTGAACATAAATCTATAACGACATTCATAATAAAATCACCAATACTCATATTTAAATACAACATTCAATGTCAATACCTAAACGTTTATACTTGAATCCAACAAATTACATCAACATTTAACTTTTAATATAAGCACACTAAAACGACATCATTTGCATAGTCATCTTATATCAATCATGTCGGTCATACCGATGAAGTTTATGCTGATTTCATAATCAAAATTGATTCGACCAAATTTAACGGACCGGCATTCCACGACCCATGAAAAAAATCCATATCCAGAACCAAACATAATTTTATTTCGCCTAAATTTCACATTTAAAGTATCGAATTTTTTTGAACAAGAGATTTCATTTCTAATCTCACCGGTCAGAAAAATTGTGAGCCAAACGAGTGGAATTCCATCCAGCAAGGCAGACAGACTGCCAGAGGAGCTGGGAAGGGGGAAGTGGCGCTTGGGAATTTCAGCGTCGGGTCCAATTCTGGACTTTAATTATTGGTGGCAGATTCGTGCATTAAACGAGCCTCACTCATTTCTGGCAGGAAATTAAAGAAAGAGGACACGAGGCAGAAGAAAACAGCAACTGGGCTCTCAATTCGAATGACAATGTGGGGTTATTTTTGTTTGCTTTCTTATAGTTAGTGACTCTCCTTTGCTTGATCCCCCAGCGACAATATGTCTGCAAGCGAAAAAAAGGAAGCGTGGTTTGGAGTTGCTATTGTTTTCTCCTTAATTAACTGTGTAACTACCCAGCAATAGCCACCTGCATTAACAGACCACCTAACAAATGTTGCAATTTGGTAGAGGTTAGAAACAGTGGTCAAAAGAAATCATGGGGGATACTTTGGCTTATACATTTTGTTGACTGATAATTACCCTTGTCCTTTGGTAAGTGGATTGTTGTAGCAGCGATCCTTGTAGCCACAAGTGTGTGAATTTTAGCCTTTCAATTTGTTGTAAATAGAGTTCATATTCTAGGTTTTATCTTCGAATCATTTGTACATATCATTTAGTATCAAATGACTCGTTTGTCAACGAAAGCAAAACAAGTCAATTGCAAATCACTCATGTCATCAGAATGACTAAAAAGAGTCATATGCAAATGACTCTCCCATCCAATTGCAAATGGTACGTTTTTCCGTCACTAGTTCTCAATCTTAACCCTGTCTTTTTTTCCCCTTCTATATATCCAATATTAACTCTTCTCTATTTTTCTTCGTGAACCCAATACTTTCCAATCATTTTCAAACATTACTTTCCATTAATACTTTTTAATTATTTCCAGTAAAATCATTTTTACTAATATGAAGATTGGTTTCAAATATAGATTATGTTTGATCTTAATATGATATAGTTTTTAACAGTTATAATTTGCGAAGAAAGATAACATAAAAATTATAATTCAAAACAAAAGGCAGTATTATTATATAAGGTTAATACCCAAATAATTGATAAATGTTGATTGCATAATGGATTTTATTTTCATAATTAGAATTATTTGGATAGCAAACAAGAAAACAAAACATGTTAGGACAAAATGATAACATTATACAAATGTCTCATTAAAAAAACTCGTCTAAAAACTTTTTAACAAACAACAGAATCCTCAACCTTAATAACAAAGTGGACAAATGTTTTTTTAGAATGTATCATTGCATTTGTTCATTTAATTAAATTGTACATTCACCTAATCTCCTTCAAGGTGTACATCATTAGTGTGCTTAATTCCGGTACACCAGTTTTATATTCCGAACAAAATGTTGGTCAATTGTCTTATTCCAATTTTAAATTTATGTTGCCCATATAGTTATTTGACTAAACTAATATAAACTGCACACTCTACATCAATATTAATGCACATGCAGTGTGCTATATCATCACATCTTTTGTTCTGTGAGTCATCTTGTACAATTTGCAATTTCAATTACTTGTACATTCATTTAAACAAGTCAATGAATTCGTAAACTATCTATCAAGATCATTTTTTAGACTTTTGATTGACATTGTTACAATGTTTGTATTGTATATAATACCTCGTTTGTTTTTTTCACAAACAATACATTGTTTGTTTGATGCGACACAAAATATCATTCAAAATAAATGATCGGTAAATATCACATTTTAGATAAGATTGTCGAGATAGTTTGAGTGAGATTGTTATGTTTGTTCTTGTCAACAATATCTCTAACATTTTGTATATGCAACTTTTTATATTAAAATCAAGGAATAAAAATTATACTTCATCTAAAAAGTAATATAATTTATTTAAATACTACAATAGCTTGAACGATTTAAATCGCAAAATGTCAATTTCTTTAATTGCATGTATATTGTTTTAGAAAAGATTAGTGCTCTTTATACATAACACCATTTATTTATTTTATACACGAAACAAAAAAAATTAACTAGTCACTGCTATATTCATCTAACTAAAACAGCATAATCGTACTCGTACACTCTTCACAAGATTATGATTCAGTTTACATCATTTACATTCACACCACCTATAAATCCTTTGTTCCTCGTTGTATTCTTCTCTGAAAGTTATCTGAGGAAAGAATTGTTATTTGTGGAAAATGCTTTCCGCTATTAAACAGAGCACAAACTGAGGCGTTTCGTGCTCAAAGTTCGCTTACTGGAGCCAGACACCATCAGTCCATTCTCGGTTAAGGCCAAAACAAATGAAAGCGTCATCTTCTGCGTGGATGGAAACGCCGTCGTTCTCTTGAGGAAAGAAAGAACTTCAGCGCCTGTAGAGGGATGCCATTTGCCCAGAAGAGACCACATGCCGACGCTACTGTACTCTGTTTAGACCCTACCTCTTGTCCCACTGTCATTAATCCTTTCCCTTCTTCCCCTCCCCTCTCCTCTCTTTCTCTCTCTGGATTCTGTACCATCATCACCTTCTCATCTGCTTCTTCAAACCCACCGACTCTCTCAAATCCGCACTAAATGCCCTCTGCCTCTGTTTTCTCCCCTGCAGCACTCAAAACTATATTACAGTCTCCCTTCTTCACCATCATAATAAACCCCCGCAATTCTCACGCCTTTTCCCCACTTCTCCTCTCGTACACTCCCTTTCATACTTGCCACTACTGCGCTCACCCAAATCACAGATCTACAGACAACCACAAATTCGGTTTAAGGTATTTTCCCAGTTTATATCCACCTCCTTTTCATCAAAGTTTGCGACTTTTTAACTTGTTCTTCCATTTTCATCATGTGGGTATCTTCCCAATAGAAAATTCTGTGATGGGTTCTTATGGTTTTTATGATTGGAACCGTTTCAAGGAGGGTTTTGGGCACATGTCAATGAAGCAGTCGCCGGTTGGTAGCAGGACAAAGAACTCGAAAGGGTTTAAGGTAAAGCACGTTTTGCAGGCTTTTCTTCTGCTGGTGGTATCGGTTTGGCTGATTTACCAGCTGAAACACTCCTACGACAAGAAGGCGGCTCTGGACGAGAATGGACATGGCGGTCTACCGACAGAGGAAACAGAGGAGGAGCAGGAGATTCTGTTCAGACTCGGCAGGAAGGACTTAATCCGCCCGATTGTTAGTAGTACTGAGACCGTGAATGGAAATGGTGTTAAGGGCGAGATGGATGATGACATGGATGAAGTGAAAGGTGATGAGATTGATGAAGAAGGAACACATGGCGGCGGCAGCGGTGGTGGGGATGATGAGGTGGACGGGCGTGATCAGGACAGAACAGATGAGGAAGAGCCAGAGGAAGTGGAGGATCTCATTGATGTGGACGACAGGGAAAGAGATGAGAGGACCGAAGATGGTAAAGGGGATAGTAATGGAGGAGATCACATTTCAATTTCGATAACAGGTGATGATGATGAAGGGAAGGACATGGGAAGAAGCCGTGTGTGAAGTCACTCATGTGTTCAATTCATGATGAGTGTAGATAGGTGAGGAATTATACTGATATATGAAAACCTTGATCTATGAAATTAGTCTGCAGAGGAAAGTCTATATGGCGAAGTTGCCTTATGGGGTTTGTTAAAAGACAGGCCTAGAGGGAAGGGAAATATCGGTAGTTGCTGCAATTGTACATATGCTACTTTTAGTCAGTGATTTGGACAATGTAATGGTGGCTTTTATATAAAGTGGTAGTATAGTAGTTAGTTGAGAGGGGAGTTTGAAAATCAGACTTTTCCCTAGAAAGTGTATTAAAGTTGAAAATATTTGGTATGAGCACTAGCATTGAGAGTTGTTTCCTGCTTTGATCTGCTTGGTTGGTAATTGGTTATGGCGTTTTGCAATTGTAAGCTAGCGTGACATGATTGATTCGCCTATGCAGCAGGGGAAGGACACTTTGGACGCGCTTACTACGTCATGTAGACATCTTTCCTCTCTTTTCTCCAGACAAGTTAGCCGGTTGGTGTAGCAACCAATCGATCAAGTTACTGGTCCCTTCAGGAGATCTGATAAAGTCGATCAAATTACTATGATATAGTTGCATAATAAAATTCAAATAGAAAGCAATAACCGGTGTTTGTGGGCTCGGTTATAAATGTAACCTTTCACTCAGTTATCAACTAACTTGTTAAACAATTTGTGTTAATCTTTAATCATACAATCATACTAGTCGATTCATGGTAACCGTATTTCGGTTACCGGTTATTTTGTCAATTAACCACATAACCATTAAGCAAGTAATTCGGCAAAGTTAGACCAAATTAACCGATTGCTAACCTAACACACGTAAGGCCTCCTTTTTTCTTTTTCTTCTTTTTTTCAACGGTACATTTTTGTAGATTTATTCTGCATATGCATGTGTGTTTTACGTTTTCAACATTGAATAAAAAATTATTCACATAGTTATCAATTCATAACCAACTTAAAACCAACACAAGTACATAGTAATACAATACCTTCAAATTTGATTAAAGAAGCATTCAAACATAAGACCCAACAACAATTACTCAACTCATAAAACCCACTAAATTACATGGAGGTTTAAATGTTGTTATTACTCATCTAACATTTTTATTACCCAAAAGAGCCAATTTACATAGTGAGACATGTAAATATAGGTCATATTGTTAAGGCATGCAACTCTAGAGTGCCACCTAGAAAGTAAGAACATTCATGTTTTGACGGCTGCAAAAAATCACTTTACTATTTTCTATGAGATTTAAGGAACATTCATATGTCAACATCTAGGTAGTGCAATACAAAGTTTTAACATAAGTTCATCTTTTTATCGCGTTCCTTCTAGAGTCCTCCTTTGAATCATATGAATCTAAACCACTATTATGAGCAGTGTAGGAGAGGATTTAATGTTGGTGACAGCCCTTGACGGAGTTGTGGAAAGATTATCTAGAGAGAAGGCAGAGGATTATGTTGCATTGCCAGATCTGCTTGTTTTGGCAATAAAGTGAACATCTGGTCTCCAAATCCATCTATGTGAGACCCGTGGGTTTGTATTCTCCTCTTCCTTTAGATCCTTTGGGTTCCTTGATGATCCATATTCATCTTGAGTGGTTTATAATATTGAAAAGCACAAAACAATGTCATAAAGGTAACAAATAGTAAAGAAACACAGTCAATGTCTATCATAATCTCATAAATTAAATAGTTATGAATTTCATATGAAATACCATCAAAACTATTAACGATGCATTCATATAAGGGGAAAATGTATCAAATATGGGAGTGAAAATACTATAAATTGAGTGTTATCAGAAATACCCCACACTTGAACTTTGTTTGTCCCCAAGCAAACACTACTCATAATCATACAACTCAATGAAGGCCAAATAACATCACTCAATCTCGATTTTAGATAGTGGATCATAAGTAAGTTTCAAGGTCAACAATAACATAAGAGAGTCCTAACCACATTAACATGAAAAAACATCATACAACTTAATCCAAGCATCAACTACTAACCATGCATTAGAGTCCAAAACGTAAGGGAACTTTTGATAAATATTTAAGCTTTGAATGCTTTCTACTATCAACTTCACATTTCTTTGAAGCACTTTGTCTTACTCAAACACAAACTCTTTTTATCTTTTTCGAATTTCCTCTCCTTTGCAAACACTATATCTTATTTCTTTTTTATTTTCTAACCTTTTCTTGTGGTGGAGAGCTCTTTATACCTTTATCCTTATTGGTCGAGCAAGAATTTAGAAGTTCCTTTACCTAAAATCGGGTGAAGGATCGATGAAATTAAAGGGGTATCAGAAGGTCTATCCCTGCCGTAAGAACACATCCTCAAGTTGGCAATCAATTCAACAGGTGGAAATTTTACTTGTACCAGAGAGGAACTAGCATCACTGTGTAGTACTTACCCATTAAATCTCAACTAGTATGATCTCCTCCAAGACCTGATTTAGTGCAATGAAAAGATCCCTAACACGTTGGGCTTCACACTTTATTCTCAACATAACATGGAAAATTTTCGAATGAAAACAATGTCTTGATGTGTAGGACTTTTTGTATTTTTCTAAAAATACAATTCACCCTTTGAAAACATGAGAGTCTTTTGCATCGTTAGAAATCTTTGAATATATAAAACAGTATAACATTTAGAAACATCGAATTGTCATTATATCCCATTGACTACCGCATCGTTCATAGTCACAACAATATCATCCCTAGCAATGTAGTCAAAATCACGCTTTAAAGTTTAAAAACTTACTTCTAGGTCACCAAAACTTTCTACGCAGAATCGTAGTTTTTGTAACTAATGTATTTAAAAACGTGCTTTAAATCTTAAAAGTTTACGGTTTTATGATTCTAGATCATCAAAACGCTTCTACGTAGAAACGCGCCTTTGACACATTGCTCCCTAGAATGAATGGCATTCCCTAGACTCATTGATTCAAAGTAAGATGAGAAGTCAAAAGCTTGTAGGGAGATCACTTGAGTAGGTGCATATTATTGTTGATCATTTGAATCTGTGCATGTTATTGTCAGTGGTTTGCGCGTATCAACAACTATCACATCCTAAGCCAAATTTAACCTAGGATGGCATTGTCGTATTGTGGTAATCAAAGTCGTATTCTACTCGGGTCATGTTACCCTAACCTACTTCCTACCTAGTTGTTAATTAGGTAATCGGTTTTTGAGGTTTTGAGTGGAGGATATGAGGAAATACTAGTCTAGAGGTTGATCAAAGCTAAAAGCAGGTAATTCTGGGAACTAATCCTCCCCCTAGCTTAGGGATACTATGCATGTATAGATACTTAGGGTTATCGAATGTGGTGAGTGAGCTCTTTTCCATGGGCCTTCGCCGTTATCCACACGCCTCCGAGTACGCCTCCTCTAAACTCATGTTTGAGTCACCTCGATCTAGGGCCTCAAGCTTATGGCTCATGTCAATGCACACTATCCACCATCCACACCGAGGTTTCATCCCGGGTTCCATCTAGGAAGGCTACCTATAGCAGGGGTTCGGTCGCCTCAACCACTATAGGCCCCCATTCACACATCTTACCTAAACTCGCCAGCTGGCGCATACCCGTCTAATCTTAGAACTCCTTACCCAGCGCGGTAGCATAAAGTAGGCTAAGAGGGAATATTAGGGCGAACTTACCCAAGCGTCATCATTTAGTAACGAGTGACATTAAAAATCAACTAGACAAACACATTCATTCAAAACCTAAAATATCCATACATACATCATAAACCCTAAAACTAGGGTTTGGAGTTTAGAACCCCTAGTACCTCAGAGGACTACTCCATAAAGGAGGGAAGAAGATACATGGTAGAAATAGAAGAATACTTGGGGGGGGTAGAAGATGCCTCCTTGCTCCTAGCTCCTAGCTCCTTCTTCTTCTCCTTCTCTTCTTCTCCCTTCAGCTTCTCTCTCTTCTTTCTCTCTAGAACCAGAAATTTCACCCAAAGTCAACTCACTTGAAAAGGGGGAAGGGGTCTTCTATTTATAGGCAACTTGGCTTCGGGGAAGTTTGCGCCCTGAGGCAGGGAGATCGCGGCTGTGATCATTGGTCACTGGGCCATAATCTCAAAATGTTGTCGTCGAGGCCTTAAGAACGGGAGAGATCGAGGCCTTACTTCGCTGTCGCGATCCTTGAGTCGCGACTGTGATTTTCCTCGCGGGCATTTTGCACGTTCTTCGTGATTCTATTGGGGAAAGTCTGTGCTCATCCATGACTCCTTCCTCGCGAAGTTCACGCCCTGGGGCTTCAAGGTCGCAATCGCGATCTTTGGCTTCTAGGCAATGATCTTCAGCGAGACTTCATAATTGGAGATCCCGATCGTGATCTTTGGCTTCTAGGCCACAATCTTTGATCATTGCCTATATCTACACTTGTGACCTTGTTTTGTACCTAATTTGCACATATTGACCTATTAGCCTACACTTGTGATTCTTTATTAGCCTAGTTTCGTAGTTATCCACACAACTTGGAGTATGCCTCCCCTAGACCCATATAAAGTCACCTCGATCTAAGCTATCGTATCTGGGGCACTAAGCTCATAGCTCCTTTCAATGGATACTATCCACCGTCCACACCGAGGTTTTATCCCGGATTCTATCTAGGAAGGATACCTATAGCAGGGGTTCGGTCCTCTCGACCCCCATAGGTCCCTATTCATACATCTACCTCGATTTGCTTGATGGCGCATACCCATCTAACCGTAGAACTCCATATCCAGCTTAGAAGCGTAAAGTAGGCTAATAGAGAACATTAGGACGACTTACCCAAACACAATCAAAGATAGAATAGCAATAGAATCAACTAGATAAACACATTCATTCATTCAAACCCTAAAATGTTCATACATACATAGTAAACCCTAAAACTAGGATTTGGAGTTCAGAACCCCTAGTACCTTAGAGGACTACTCCATAAAGGAGGGAAGAAGATAAATAGAATAAATTGAAGAAGACTTGAGGT